CTCAAGCCAGTGACAGATTGTGTATGTGTCTTGAGAAGCGCCCAGAATCCAAGCTCGAGATAAACTCGTTTTCTTGTGACTCTGCCGCGAATCGAACCGGTCCTTCTTGAGGGACAGGGTGGTTAGGTAGTGGTGCCTTAAGGCATTACCACTACACCATCAAGCTTGTAGGGACCTAGTCGTGTTGACATTTATATGTTTGATACCGCTGCCCGGCTTCAACCCTGCCTACGAGGTACCTAACCAAGCAAGCCGAGGATTCAGGGCGTCAATGTCTCTACCAAGCTTTCCCTGCCACGCCTCCGCTAAGTTATTGCAATGGCTCCCTGGGACGTGATGGCAGAGACCATCTTACATAGCGCGATGCCAGTCTTTCGCCGTGCTTCTCAAATGGCCTCTGGGGTGGGACAATTAGGATGGGATACCTGGGTAGGTACTCTATCCGTTCACTCTGTAGCTCTAGCCGTTGGACCGTTGCCTACCGCTTATTTTGTGGTCCTGTAGATAGGTATCCTGCGGTATGTTACCCCTATTCCGACGGCAACGCTGTTAAATGACCGTACGGTTATAACAGATCTATATACTATCCGTGACACCTATCTATCGTTGTCATAGACTTATATGACTGGAGATCTTTCTCGTGGGGCGTTCCTGTGCTGTAGATCCCGTCCAGGCCCTATGAATCAGTTAATCTGATATTGCTTCGCATTGCCTCAGCTCGTCTTATAAATTCTCATCTTGACAACCTTCCCTTCTCGCATCACGACAGCCACGACAGGGACGCTGTGTTATACCTACTAGGTATCATTACTGTTGGTTGTTTGGATCATTTGGCATGCCGGGTGCGGTTGATCTGATCGGTCGTCCAATTCCATAATCTCCATTTTCTGGATTATTATGGGTGGGGAGTCCTTTTCTACTCTGTAGACGCGGCAAACAGGTCATTGTTGCTCACAATGACTCTGAATGATTATTATCAACTAGCTACCTCCATACAAGTAGACTGGGACGCGAGCGGTCTCTTCTTATGATTCGTAATTTTTCGATCCATCCAGCGGCAATATTATCTCTGCCTCATCTCATCGATCGCAAGTTATTCGAACAGCCTTCGTAGGTTTAAACAAGCCAATGGTCTCCCATTGGAACAGCATGCTCCATCCAACATTGATAATTCCGGTGGAGAACGCTCCATAAACGAGACTCATAAAGCTGCGCAAACCTGAATAGCCCATATGTGCTCAAAACACACAAGATACTGTTAAGCCGCACACATTGAGACTGTGGCCCAAGACTGCCTTAAAGATTACAAACGCTTATTTTCCCAGGCGCTTAGCCTCGTCTGCGACAATGGCTGGAATCTCATTCTTAAGAGTGTCACCATGAGGCTCCCACCCAAGATACTTCTTCGCGCGAACCGCGACGCCTTTGGAGTTAGCACCGTATGATTTAAAGTCGCCCTCCTGCGTCTTTGCCTCGGGCAGATACCCTTGCTTCTTCGCCTCCTCGGCAACCCACTCGGCTACTTCGCGCCAGGTGTGCGTGCCATTCTCGAGGAAGAAGTATGCGCGAGGACCAAAGATCTCAGGGTTGTTCTGCTTCACTGGATCGAGGGCGGCGTCCACCGCAAGCACGAAGAAAGTCCCGAGATCGTGGATATGGACATTATCCCATTCGGGCGAACCGCCGCCGGCCATAATGGGCGCGAAGCCATTCTCCAATGTGAATTTGGTCATGTTGTAGACTTGGATGCTGCGCTGGTTCACGGGGCCCCGGCCTGGACCGTATATGGTTGGTGGAGATACTATGAGCGTCCGGACGCCGCTGGCCTCATTGGCGGCTAGCACGATCTCATCGCAGTCACGATGATAGGCATGGTGCGGAATGGATATGATTCGGTCAACGGTGTCAATATCGTGACTATAATGATGATTCATGTCGACATTCAGTGCAGGTTCTTTGGAAGCACGTGTGTATAAAATGTTTGCATAGGTTCCTAGACGATTGACTTACTATTTCTGCTCTGGCAACGGCGCCTGTCCATATCTGTTGTTGTCCCAGTCATACCATTGCAGCATGCCGGTCCCGCAGACGTGAATCCAATAGCCCGGCTTGCTTGCCGTATGCCCCTCGGCAAGGCCTTTGGCGATAGCCCTGGCAGAGGGCACATTATCGGAAGAGTCGGCCGTGTCTAGGGGGTAGGATTAGAGTCGTTGGGCATACGGGTACATTAATCGGAGCCAATTATGCCCCTCCAACAAATACATACGAATCACGATGTCAGCGGCGGCAGCCGCTTTCTCAATAACCGCTGAATCATCGAGGTTTCCATATACAAACTTGACAGTCGGATACTGGGCCGAAACAAGCTTGGCTTTCTCCTCGTTACGTACGAGCAATGTGAACTCGAAGTCCGGATGAGCACGAAGAACTGAGTAGAGGGCTTCGCCACCGATGTAACCTGGTAGAATTTCATCATCAGAAATCGGCACGAATCACTACCCCTAAAGCCCGGGTGTATGCTACGCGCAACACGGAGGGAACGCACCGGTGGCGCCAGTTCTGAGAAAAAGGTCAGCGTGCTGTACGGTGATGGATCAATGGACCGGTCGACTTTTCACTCACAGAAAGATCTTGGTGACCATCTTGCAATCACGGAGGGTTAGTGTAATTCTGGAGTTGCCTTTACCGAACAATGATTTGGACAAAGGGGCCTGGGAGAATAAATATGTATTGTCTCTTTGGTAAAGGTGATGTCATCGAGGAGGCATATTCCCGTCGCCCCACGCGGCAGCATTATTATTAATGCATTTTGACGCTGACTGTGATGCTGACTGGGCCGGACTCCACTCCGGAGGGCGGGCATCTCAGTATCTATAAGCTCCACCGGGAGTTGTCAATTGTATTGTATGTGAAGACGAGCTGGCTTTAGGGTCACGAGGGTCGCGCAACGCGGGGTACGGGTTGCAACGGAATCGTGAGGGTTGGAGGTAATGTCGCAATCTACCTGGTTGGCCGAGTGTATGGGATGCTCCATCATGCCAAGGCCCCAGCTCTTCCTAAATACAGGAAATACCTCCGTACGAAGTACACTCGACGAGTTAGAACGGCCGAGAACGTCGCGTAAACGTGGGAGCAGACTGAGTAGACAATGGGGATCGGGACCTCTTGTTGGATGACGGCCACGGTACTGAGGCCTGAACTTGGGGTGCCGGATAAGCGAACCCCTGAATCCCCTTCCCCATATCCGACGCCCGAAAGAGTCCCGACCACAATGACCTCTTGTAAACAAGGACGAGACAGCCGAGCATACAAGATCGAAGAACCACTATATGTGCATTGAATATGGCCAGGCGGGTTCGAGTTCGTCATAATATCCATGCTAGTAGTCTATTCTACACTTATTCTCGCATAGCATGGTTAGTCTAGACCCTCCGCCGCCGGCATCGAAGCCAAGGTCGGGGCTTGAACAGTAGGCTTCTTCGAGCCTCCGCTGGCAGGACCACCACCGCCACCGCCACCGCCGCCGCCGAAAAAGCCACTCATCATGTCCATCAGGGGATTGCTCTGGCGAGGCTTCCGGATGCCGAAGTACATCTCGGCTATTATTTCCAGCGCCTCGTTCCACATCTCTAGTTCGTTCAGATGGCTGGCATACCTGGTCGTCAAGTGTCTATAGAGATCTGCGCTACCTCTTTGAATCGCGAGTAATAGAAAACCGAGGAAGTTGAGGAGCGGCATGCTCGGGAATACACGGATATCGGCGCTGTTGCTACTCACATCTTGGACACCAAGTTGGTCTTGATTGTCCTCACTAAGTGCACTGGTGAAGACACGATAGGAGGTATTGGCGGCTCGAACGTTCGCAGTTATCAGATAGGGCAAGACGGCTCGGCCGACGTACTGGGCGGCGGTGTGAGCTTCGTCTTCCTTGAACCATTCGTATTCCATGCGGGCCAGCAATTCGGCAGAATCCTTAGTACCCAACACTAGGTGCTTCTCGGCATCGTAAACTCCGTGCTCCTCTGCATACAGCGAGCCGACGACGTGATGGAGCTCGGGATCGCCAGCGGGGTAATCGCCAAATTTCGAAGACCACCTGTCGGCAACCTCGGTGTTAGTACAGCATATTTCCGCAGCTCTTCTAGCCAGAGTACGATCGTGGGACTAGATAGGCACAACAATATTCGAGGACATACGCTATTATCTCTCCAATGAACTTCTTGCGAGTGGGCTCCTCGCTGTCGAACAATCGCAAGCACGTCAGCAATTTGCCCTTGGCGGCGGAGTCGGGCTTAAGCTCGGCTTGTTTGTAGGTGTCGACGAGCAGGACGCAGAGGTCGCCGCCGCTGCCGCCCTGGCCGGCTTTGAGGAGAGACTGGGCAACATTGTAGAGAATGTCGACAGCAGCAGACCAGTTTGCGGCCTTAGTATATCGTGCGGCGACTACGCGGGTCTGTTGCTGGGCTTCGTAGAACTGCCCCTCATTGATGCGCTGTTGCAGCCGCGCGATGATCTTCTCGATCTTGTCGCCCTTGCCGCCGCTCATGTTGGCTTGGTACTTGGCTGTCTAGTTCGCAGGGTGCAAGGTATTATATTTGTATAGCTTGACTTTGTCGAGGGCTTTGTTCGCACGTAGTAGGTATGTTGTGTAATGAATTGGCGGATTGCTTGATTCGGGTTCACATGAAAGACAGAAAACATTCTGTTTCTATAAGCATCAGCCCCGCGATGGTACCTGCCCGGTTATAGACCTACACCGCAGTATACCTACCCGCCTTATCGAATAAAATTAGTAATCGACAAGCCTGATAAAGCATGAATCTCAATACGATTTGATTGGCCAGTCTCCCCGGAAACTTTTTAACCACTCCAGAAGAAGCTGGGCCGCCCGGAGCCCGACCAGTAATCCTTTGAGTGATCAACAAAAGCTTGAATCCCCTCATCCCACGGCAAGTGGCGTGAAGTACATTATTTCTTATGTTCGGCTGAAATCAGTGACAGCACTAATGGTGTAATGGTAACATCTAAGCTTCCCAAACGACTACAAGTCGTAGCCTGCTTAGGCCCCTGGTTCGATTCCTGGTTAGTGCATCTTTTTGCGATGATCTCGTCATAGTTGTAAGAGGTCTATATTAATCCTCCCTTCTGCGACTACAGTCATGTATTTCATGACGTCCCTTTTTACTATTTGCTAGCTGCGGTTCGACGCATGTCTCGGTTGAAGCAATCATGTAATGGACTTAACGTGTTTCCTTGTATCCTACAATTGAGACTTGTTCGAAGTACATCAACGTATTCAAGATCGATGCAATAGATCTCATAAACATGAAGGGCTATCGGCCACCTTCATAATTGGGCTACACAGCACTGCGATAAGTGCCCGGGAACCATGTGAGACAGATGACTGACTGCCCTCCTATTTACGTTCTGTACTGTAATTATTTATGTCATTCATATTATTAGCGTCGTCTATAGCATCTTTCAGTCGCCCGCAGCCCCAGGCAGGGCTCGAGCCTGTCTTCCTCATACGTAATGTGACATAGCGAGATGTTACTCTCGCAACCCTATAATTCTCCATATGCTTGAATCATTATCAGCCGACCATCCAAACTCCAATCAGTGCACTCCCCTGTCATCTCCTATATTTACAAACTCATCACCGAGTCTCGCCGCCAGCCATCTACACATCACGTGCTTCGTCGCCGGATACATCGTTATCGGTGGTAACTTCACTAATACAATGGTCGAACAGTGTCGGAAAGAGCCTCCTGAAGGCTGAAAAAAAACAAACTGCTAGGAATTATAGTCGTGGTGTTCACCATCGGCGAGTAAAATTGGTGGCTTGTACGTTCACGCTTTGCGAGAGCGAACCGTACCGCCGTTAACTTTCCGGGGACCCGTGGCCGTAGCCTGGCCATTGAGAGATGCGCTTGCCACCACGTGAGGGTCGGGAAGCGGAGCCTGGGACATGCGACGGAGAGTAGTACGTGAGCTTGGAGCCTTGCGGTCCTTCTTGTACGTGGCGAAATAGAAGGAGATGAAGAGAACCAAGTAGGAGGTGATTGTGCCAATGCCGGCAAAAGCAGCGTACTCCTCGCCGGCGCACTTTCCGGCAGTCGGCATAGATGGGAAGTAGGTGGATGTGAAGTATGTGTAGGACGCAAAATAAACGAAGCCTGGCGATAGGATTAGCTGATTTTCTTTCTTGGGTTCGACATTGCAAGGGCCTGGAACATACCGAGATCAATGATGAACTGGACGATTTGTAGACGTGTGATCCACTCCTTCCACCAGATCTTGATACCCCTAGCGCTCTGGAAATAGTACCAGTACATGACAACGTGAACAGTCAAGTTGAGGGAGATGACGACCCACGAGACGGAAGTCGAACCAATCAGCTGGGTGTAGCAGAGGAAAGCGGTCGCGCCGTGGTGGTAGCAGTGAAGGAAGGCTGTGCGTCGTGGGTTAGCATACTGCGACGTATCGTAGCTGGCAACAATTGTCCACTTACTCAAGGGCTTCTTCTTCAGAAATAAGAATACAGTGTCCAGGAACTCGAGATATTTAGTGAGGTAGTTCAGCTATCCGTGGTTAGCAAACATGATCAGCGCACAATCGGACAGGTTGGGAGCATACGTAATACAAGACGACTAAGGGCTGAGTCCAGCCGCCTTCAGCATCGCAGATGGCGTAGAAGAGACCATGCCGGGCAATGGTGGGTACGAGTTGTTCGACGAAGAGAACGAGTAGGACGGCGCTAATGGAGGTGAGGATGAAGTTGTGAATCAAGAACAACGTCTTCAGCTTGAAGGGTTCCCGGTTGCGCATCCACTCGCGACCGCCGAAAATGATGGAGTAGTAGACAACGCTGAAGATAAGGGATTCCTTTAACGTTGACAAGGGCGTCTTGCCGGCAACGAATTTGAAGTCATCGGCAGGGTAACCGACAACGACCTCGAAAGCCTTGCTAAAATAGGGCCAGATGGGCACACCGAATGGCGTGTCGAGGGTAGGAACGGGAAAAGATTCCCACAAAGCAGCAGGCGCTGGAGAGGCCATTTTGCGTTACGGATGTAATGCCGGGTCGGTGACCTATTGGAAGTTTGTGGTATGAAGTACCGAAGATGCGTACTCAGCCGGGAGCGTTTGGGAGGATACACGTCGCGTTGTAAGAGGCAGAGGGAAAAATTGAAAGATGAAAGAGTGACAAGAAGAGGTGTAAGGAGAAAGACGCGATTATACAGCAGAAGAGGCCCCCTACAGACTACAGCGCATTCGTCGACCGAAGAAGCAAAAACGCATGGACGTGAGAAATCATGAAGAGACGGGACGGAAGTCAATTGATGAATTCTGGTCGATCAAATAGGAGGAAGGCATTGACTACCAAATACACTAAGAGGACTACCCAGGGGGGGGAATCCAGCCTATAACAAGTTTTTCCTTTTGTTCCGGGGCGCGGTCTCCTTTCTGGAGCGCCAGTGCAACAAGGCTGGAAACTCAATCCACGGACTTTCGGGGCTCTCGGCACGGAAATCTCGTGCACGGGCCACACATCTTGGAATCCTTAGCGGCTCATGGGTTGCACCGGGTAATCGCGTTCCTCTGTATTCCGTACATGTGGCACCTGGGCCAACTGTACAGTACAAATACAGTGCATATTGGTATGCGCATTGAGTTGCGTCACTGTACAGACTGGTACGTCCGCAGGCAGTTTAACGCAGTGTACCTGCCTAGGCAGGTTTAGGAAGGTACATCAGATGGTGGTGTGATGTGGTTCGTACAGGCAGCTTAGGTCCCTGTTTGATAGTGATGTTACAGCGAGCCTCAGTGGTCTCAGTGACTCGACAAACGCCCTTGAATTGCCCTTCGGTACAGAGCATCACAGGCAATTCCGAGGCAGGCAGACCTGGCAGAGTCGGGTCTTCATTCCTACCCGGCATTACATAATACAATGCGCCCATCGCCCCAGAAAACCGGCATCTATAGGACCAATCAGAGACCATGGTTTTATGAGCGACTAAGCTTCACTTGGGCTTGACAGTGAGAATTTATTGACCACTCCTACTCAATTCGCCGAAACCCCCGGACAGCATCAAACCCAGCCTTCACTAAACAACAGTCAGCCTGTTGGCTCCCAGCTCCGCGACCACCGTCTTTATCCCCAGACTCGCCATGTCTTCCACCTCTCTCCTCCGAGTTGCCGTCCGCGGCCCTTCTCAAACCTTTTTTCGCGCATACCGTCCGGCCACTCCCTCGAGAGCTAGCACGGCTATTATCCCCGGCCTGATTGCTGGTTCTGGCCTCAACTTCAGCACTACCACCCCCCGCCGGAGCGAGCACCAGGAAGAAACGTTTGAGGAGTTCACTGCCAGGTAAGGAGCAGTCCAATTACCATTTCAAATGAGAATGTCCTCAGATGCTGTGAGGCAGCGGCACCAACCACTGTCGGCATGTTCCGGCTTGGGAGATGAGCTGCACTTGTTGTCGCCTCGGATCTTGTATAAGAGCTGCGGCGGGCACCGATTCCTATCACAATCTTCTGGAAACATCAATTGGAAGCTAACTGAAGCTACGCCACAGATACGAGAAAGAATTCGATGGTGTTCAGGATGTATTTGAGCTCCAGGTTCGTTGTTCCTTTGGTCCACACCGAACAAAACCCTCAACATAGATAACCCCCTCCTCCTACCAACATGCGCTTTCTTTGGACAGATTGCGTCACATTTTCCGAGGCAAATGAGTCTAAAAAATATGTTATGCGTACTTGTTCACTTACCCACCCTTTCGCAAACAGCGCAACCTGAACAACGCCTTCGCATACGATCTCGTACCCTCCCCCTCCGTCCTTCAGGCCGCCCTTAAGGCCGCGAGGAGGGTCAACGACTTCCCCACTGCCGTCCGCGTCTTCGAGGGAATCAAGGCTAAGGTCGAGAACAAAGGCCAGTACGAGCAGTATCTTGCCGAGCTAAAACCCCTGCGGGAGGAGCTGGGCATCGTGCTAAAGGAAGAGATGTACCCCGAAGAGACCAGATAGACCCCGAACGATTCCCTCCGCTATGGCCGAGCGCGAACCCTTGTCGACAAATTGGCCGACTAATCCTTCCGAGTAGGGTGGGTAGCTAGAATGGGCTCAGCTTTCAACTTGCCAAAATTTTAAGAGCGTGATCAAATTCAAATTGAGCGAGCGAGCAGCAATTCTGGCGGAAACGAGGACGGGTTTTCGGCGTCGCGCTCCCATACCGCAGCCCCAGCCATGTGTATATGTCTACAACTATAAACAACTTTTACAACCACATTAGAATTTCGAGTATTTCCGGGATGGTCCACCGACAGCATCTCCGCATTGGGTGAGGACAGAGGCGAGGCAGCCCCCCGTTTTTCTTTAATTTGTGTACACCAAATGGCTCTCAATCTAAGGTCTCCGCTATCACCGACCCCATCTTGCTACAAGCAACGTTAATGTACTGCTTGAGATGTGTTACGTCCCCAGCCACGATGATGCCCCATATGGTCTCTTATGTGACCTAGTTGAGGGACGGATAGTTGGTTCTAGCTGCTATAATAGCTCCCCTAATTTGTTCTTCAAAAGTCACACCCATGTACGAGCGGAATGCTAAACGTATCACTGACCGCGGGTCGTAAAGTTAGGTATTCGTAGGAAATCTATCGGATGCAAACAGCTTTGATCCCCCGTCTCTATATACTACCTATCTACCTATATGTCCGATACGGCCTGCCTCAGGATTGAAGGTACATCGTAAATCATAACACTTAGGAATGAAAACGAGATAACCGAGAATAAAAGGCCATAGAAACGAAACCCCCCCGGTGAAAAGCTACTCATGTTATTTACTCTACTTCGTACGAGCGACACTCCCCCATTTATACACATGTATGAACAGGGAATGATCTGAAAGTTTATATACGACCAGCCGTTAATGAGACAAGTTGATAAACCATCAAATTAAGTAGCTAAGGAGGAAAGTAGAAGCTATAATGTTTTTTTTGTACTCTCTGAACTACCCTCACAAACCGTGTTATACTGTACTTTATACGAGAATCAGCCTAGTACCCGAGATAAACATACCGCT